TAAACATATTTGAACATTTAAACATATTTGTACTCTCCATTAGATGGTGACCTGTTTGACGAGGCGATGGACGGAGGTCATTTCAGCCTGAACAGTCGTGGTGAGGGTGAGGGCAGCCCGGAGCTGTTTGATCTGTCTCGTTTAGTGGACAGTCTGGGGGTCCCCAGCCCTCGGACCTGCCGGACCCCTGAATCCTTCCTGGGGCCCACAGGGGCCTCCCTGGTCAATCTGGACAGCCTGATACCAGCCAACCCCCCAGCCAAAACCAAGAACCCCTTCCTCTCAGGTGAACACAGCCAACCATACCATGTACCCCATCCAAAAGTGCTACTCAGTCACTTACTCAGATCTGGGGCAATTACAGCTTGAAGTTTGCTCTTTTGGGACTATTCCATTGATCCTATCGTAGCTTACTGGGCAAACTTAATAATCAAGTGCAGGTAAAGTATTTAAACATTTAATGTGTAATGGTTAAAAGTGCTTCTACTGACTCTCTCTCTCTCTCTCTCTCTCTCTCTACCTCTCTCCCTCTGTCTCTCTCCCCAACCTCTCTCTACCCCCCTCTCTCTCTTCCCCTATCTCCTTCCCCCCTCCAGGTCTGAGTGCTCCATCTCCCCTCAACCCGTTCCAGAGTGAACAGCCTCGTCTCACTCTGAATCAGATGCGTCCCAGCTCCACGTCCCCCGTCCCCCCCTCCGGTCCTCCCTCCCTGCCCTACAGTGCTTCTCTGCCCCTGCCCTCCAGCCACCAGCCGGCCAGCCTTCCCTCCTCCCTCACCCAGCCCACCCAGGGAGCCCTGGACATACCTGGGCTGCCACAGCCCCTGCTACCCCTCTCATCCATCTTGTCTCTGGGAGACCAGCACAGTCAGAACCCCTTCCTATGATGCCTGTCCAGCTGAACTGGACAGAACCCCGTAACAGGGAAGGTGGACCAACACCAACGTCTGCCATGTGCAGTAGATCACCTGTGATGGAGGAGGAAGGAGAGGTAGAAAGAGAGAGAACAGAACTTGTTTAGGTCTATAGTAACCTGATCCTGATACATACAGGCCTATGCCCAAGCTCATCCTTCGCTGTAGTAAGCACAGTGGGTGAAGACATTTTGATGCTAAAGTACTTAGCAATACTTTACAAAGCGAGTGTGTAAGCACTAACCTATTCTCAGATCTGTTCGTGCCCTCTTTCCAACTATGGTCATTGGCTATACAACACAAACAGATCTGGGACCAGGTTAGTTAACTGCTTTTCCAACTGCTTCCTATCTAGTCACATGCCCCGCCCACTCTGCTGCATACTTTAGTTTGATTGGCTCCTCAATGTTGCTCCTGATCCAGCACTGAACTGATTGTACACCAGATATGCCTGCTTATCGCTCCGACCGACGGACCACAATGCACTGGGACAGGACGCCCACTGTTCCGCCGCACTGCTCTATGCTGATTGGTTGGTCCGCTCTCTGGACTGCTTTCATTGGTCGGCTCTTTCTCTCCTATTATGTCTCCCATGATGCCCCAGGGGATAACTCGGACAAGTCTTTTCAGGAGGATGTAACGTTACAGAATGCTCAGATAGAAATGTATCATATAGAACAGATATGATTGTCTGCCAGATAGAATAAGGGAAGTGTGTCAGCTCTATTCAATCTATTTCTGTCTGCAAACGTTCAGTATGTTTCCCAGCACAGACTGCAACTCTTGCTTTCTGAGAACGGACAGAGAACATGCCACACCGGTGATGAGACGCCAGACAACCCACATCCATATAATGACCACTCAGTTTTAAGTTTCCTTTTTGTTGCATTAGGCCTAGTAAGACTCACTCAGAGTGAGTTCTTGTGTAATGGTGGTTTTCTGTTGGAATGGAACAGTGTTGATGGTGAGAAAGATTCTAATGTAGTTTGATTGTATTGTAGTGGACTGGAGTGGGATTCCTTTGGGGGATAACTGAATGAAATCTGCTTTTCAAGGGACCGGAATAACTGCAGGATTCACTACAGGGGCAAATCCTAACGCTCTCGCTTCAAGTTGAATTTTGCATTGATGTCAATGGGAGAAGTGGAAATTCAATTGCAGTGGAAGTTAGAATTCGACCCTATAAGCAAGGCAACATATTAGAAGAATGTTGAATTGAAATCATGATTTTTTTTATTCTCATTGCTTGTGAAACACTGATTGTCATCATCAAATATAAGGGTATAATTAACTAATAACACCTTGGATTGGCATTCATTCATATTTTATAGCTTTTATTTCATGATCATTTTTGATCAATATTATATCTCTTGACTTGTTGTTTTGATACCATTCAACCGGTTTACATCTGTTAATACATGACTGTGTATATATAGGCCTAGCCCTAGATTGTAATATCAAACATTTTATTATGTAATGTTTCTACATATTGAATGCTTAGAAAAGCACAATCTTTGAAGGGTTGACTTTTGTACACCATGTTTATCTGCCCCCTGGATGCCAAACATCTGTATAACAGTTACTGTATTTCCACTGTCATCCATCATTTCCCCATATCAATGAATCCAGCATAGTAAGGCTACATCGAGGACACTACTCCAGTATAGTAAGGCTACATCGAGGACACTACTCCAGCATAGTTAGGCTACATCGAGGACACTACTCCAGTATAGTTAGGCTACATCGAGGACACTACTCCAGTATAGTTAGGCTACATCGAGGACACTACTCCAGTATAGTTAGGCTACATCGAGGACACTACTCCACACATGATTATGCATTTCCCCGTTTGAAAATTCTTGAACCAAATGATATACAGTGGGGGAAAAAAGTATTTAGTCAGCCACCAATTGTGCAAGTTCTCCCACTTAAAAAGATGAGAGAGGCCTGTAATTTTCATCATAGGTACACGTCAACTATGACAGACAAATTGAGAATTTTTTTTCCTGAAAATGACATTGTAGGATTTTTTATGAATTTATTTGCAAATTATGGTGGAAAATAAGTATTTGGTCACCTACAAACAAGCAAGATTTCTGGCTCGCACAGACCTGTAACTTCTTCTTTAAGAGGCTCCTCTGTCCTCCACTCGTTACCTGTATTAATGGCACCTGTTTGAACTTGTTATCAGTATAAAAGACACCTGTCCACAACCTCAAACAGTCACACTCCAAACTCCACTATGGCCAAGACCAAAGAGCTGTCAAAGGACACCAGAAACAAAATTGTAGACTTGCACCAGGCTGGGAAGACTGAATCTGCAATAGGTAAGCAGCTTGGTTTGAAGAAATCAACTGTGGGAGCAATTATTAGGAAATGGAAGACATACAAGACCACTGATAATCTCCCTCGATCTGGGGCTCCACGCAAGATCTCACCCCGTGGGGTCAAAATGATCACAAGAACTGTGAGCAAAAATCCCAGAACCACACGGGGGGACCTAGTGAATGACCTGCAGAGAGCTGGGACCAAAGTAACAAAGCCTACCATCAGTAACACACTACGCCGCCAGGGACTCAAATCCTGCAGTGCCAGACGTGTCCCCCTGCTTAAGCCAGTACATGTCCAGGCCCGTCTGAAGTTTGCTAGAGTGCATTTGGATGATCCAGAAGAGGATTGGGAGAATGTCATATGGTCAGATGAAACCAAAATATAACTTTTTGGTAAAAACTCAACTCGTCGTGTTTGGAGGACAAAGAATGCTGAGTTGCATCCAATGAACACCATACCTACTGTGAAGCATGGGGGTGGAAACATCATGCTTTGGGGCTGTTTTTCTGCAAAGGGACCAGGACGACTGATCCGTGTAAAGGAAAGAATGAATGGGGCCATGTATCGTGAGATTTTGAGTGAAAACCTCCTTCCATCAGCAAGGGCATTGAAGATGAAACGTGGCTGGGTCTTTCAGCATGACAACGAAGGAGCGGCTTCGTAAGAAGCATTTCAAGGTCCTGGAGTGGCCTAGCCAGTCTCCAGATCTCAACCCCATAGAAAATATTTGGAGGGAGTTGAAAGTCCGTGTTGCCCAGCGACAGCCCCAAAACATCACTGCTCTAGAGGAGATCTGCATGGAGGAATGGGCCAAAATACCAGCAACAGTGTGTGAAAACCTTGTGAAGACTTACAGAAAACGTTTGACCTGTGTCATTGCCAACAAAGGGTATATAACAAAGCATTGAGAAACTTTTGTTATTGACCAAATACTTATTTTCCACCATAATTTGCAAATAAATTCATAAAAAATCCTACAATGTGATTTTCTGGAAAAAAAATTCTCATTTCGTCTGTCATAGTGGACGTGTACCTATGATGAAAATTACAGGCCTCTCTCATCTTTTTAAGTGGGAGAACTTGCACAATTGGTGGCTAACTAAATACTTTTTTCCCCCACTGTAACAGTGTTCTCCCTCAGCCTTTAAAAAACAAATCCTGGTAGATACAGTATCTATACAGAGTGTTGGCAATAAATACAGGGATGATATTCCAGCTGTAAGAGCATTAATATCCCGCCTCCTCAAGAAGACGTGATCCCATGTGAATGACGGCATCATTCTTGGTGTGACAACTGAGGGGGGACGAGCTCCGACTGAGAAAATCGTTTTGAACGGTCATCCAACTTAGAATTCCAACTCGGGAACTTGGGCCTCTTTCTAGTGCTCCGACTTTCCGACCTGAAGATCACTGACGTCATGATATGACCTCGTATTTTTCCCAGCTGTCTTGAAAGCACCAGTAATGAGGAACTGCTTCCTGAAAGGAAGATGCTTCTATGACATCAGTCAGCCAGCCAGTCAGTCAGTCAGTCAGTTAGGGGTGGAGTCCAGCCAGGCCAACACCTCCTGGAGCCCCTGGCCGGATCGAGCGCTCAGTTCCAGGGTTGTGATTGGCTGGGTGGCAGAGGCGATGATGTCATCCATCCTGAACAGTGACATCATCTCTACGAGACTCATGGTACAAGGGAGGTCCCTGGAGGAAGGGCGGGTGGAGAAAGGGTTAGAAATTTGCAGAGGGAGGGAGAGGCACTGTTGATCACTTATGCAAAGGAGGTGAATAAAGCTAATCTCTACTAGACTCATGGTACAATAGAGATCCTGAGAAGAAGGGTGGAGAATCAGTCAGGAACGTTGCAGGGAGGGAGAGAAACTGTCTGTTTGGGAAAAAAGCATTTAAAGTGGGAGTATATTGGGAGGAATTAGATACGTCTGTTTCGTAGCCAGGGGTCTGTCTAGTAAGGTGCAATGTTGCAAAACATTCAGATAGAACTGTATTGTGCTGAATAAACCTGATTGTCTGTCATGTAGAAAATAGGGGATCATGTCACATCTATTCATTACATTTCTATCTGGAACTTTCTGAATGTTTCACCTATAAAATACACTGATCTTGTCCAGAGAATTTGTAGTGTCTGTGTTACTACAAGACCTCTTGTTGAAGATAACCAGGACAGAGGCTGTGTGGAGAGGTTCAGCAGAGAGGACAGACAGGAGCTGGATACAGGAGGACGAGATCTGGGTGGTGTTGGCAGAGTCCACCATGAACTATATAGAGGACAAACAACAATTCTTTTATTTTAAATCATTCATGCCTGCAGTCGACAAGCCTGAAATTATGCAGAATGCACAGATGATCTCCCAGTTCAGTGGGCTGATGGTCTACCATGTATTGCAGTGATATTAGCCTATTCAAACCTCTGGTTGATCTCTATTTTTGATCAGAGGAGCTTTGCTTATTAATCATATAGAAATATTTACTATTTTTGCATTAAACTTCACAATCAATGTATTATGTGTACAAAGTATTATTGAGATCATTCCAAGCACTTACAATGAATTATTCCCAAATTGAGAGAAACGTCTTCCTATATAGGAGTCATGACGTGGTTCTCATGCTACTGCTATCTTGGACCAGGGCTCTCTTGCTAAAGAGATTTGATCTCAATTGGACAAACCTGAATCCATAAAAGGTTTAATTTATAAAATGTCTATGGACAATAACAGAGGAGCATTCAGTGTAGGTAGTATCTGGACCAGATTGCCTGCCTGCCTGCCTCCCTCCCCCAGCTCTCACACTGTCATCATCTTCTTCTTTAGAGTAGATATATTAACTCGACTTATACACTGTATGGATGTGGTTCTGGACTCACGATGACAGAGGAGCAGTCCGTATAGTAGCTGGGCCAGATAGGTCCCATACAGCCTCCCAGCTCTCTCACGGTCACCCTCTTCCTCTTCAGAGTCAGGTCTGTCAGGTTGGTGCCCACCTGTAATAGAGGGATACATAATAGTAGTCTAGAATATTCCTTTTCTGTTTTAAAGACACCCTCGAATGGTGACTGACGCAACAATCACTGTGGTGAATACTGAATGGACTCACCGTAGGTAGAGTAACAGGGGGTTCCCCTAAATCAGTTGTCCCATCTCTCAAACTGAGCTGTGAATCGTCTGTTAAGGGTGATTAAATAGACACTGTGACGTTAGCGGTTGTTATTTATGAGACAGGATGGCATGGAAATGTCCTCTGAAGATACATGTTGGAGTGAGACATGGGCTGCGTCTTCTCAATAGTCAACAGCGGCCCCCTCTTCCGGTCTCCTCTCCTTCATTTGCACTGATATTAAAACATAGGATAAGTGAGAAGAAGAATATGGTGGATGTGTATTGGAAAACTGTAATCAGACTCCAAGCAGATGAAGAAGAGGATACGAGGAAAGGAAGCCAAAACATTATTGAGATGCAGCCATGGTCATAATTGCTAACGTTAGCTAGCTAGCTTATTATCTTGCTTGCTTGCTACATTAATCTCAATGATGGCTAGTTTGAAAGGATATTCTGTAAACGTTTCAAGAGCAGCGTCTTTCCAACACCGGTCGCACCGAGCAGCAAACACATTTCGTAAAATCCAACAAAGACTTCATCCGTATCAAACTTTTCGAGACTAGTTAGCTAGCAAGCAAGCCTCTCCAGCTTCCTTTGACACCATTGCGACGCTCATATGATCAACTATGATTGCACAAATAAGAAGTAAATCATTGCAAATCCAGTTTCCCATTAGTCGTTTCATTGCCGACTGACCCGGAACCAAAACATTTAATCACTTCCTTTCCTTCGAAAACAAGCCACGCCTTCTTCCACCCAGTTGTCAAAACATAAACAGACAGCTACAGGAGTGGGAGTCAAACCTAAAGAAGTTTGGGAGTCAAACAATCCACCCCGGTGGTGTGCAGCTAAGTTCAGCAATAGGTTATTCTTCAAGCGTTTGGAGAGCATCTTGGAGAACAGCCATGGAAGCTCAGCTGAAGAAGGAGCTGGGAACATCCATGCTTAAGTCAACTGGCCATTCTGGAGGTGGTTGTATCAGCCAGGGACAGAGCTTTGATACTGACCACGGGAGAGTGTTTGTCAAGATCAACCACAAGAGTCAGGTTCTTCATTTACTTAATACCAATTCCATACTGCATGCCTTTACATTGACATATGAAGTCACTCAAAATAGATTAGCACTGTAAAATAGTAGCCTAATAAGGATAATTTGTCAGAAATATCAAACATTATTTTGTTGCAAGCTATTTAGCTACACACTGTATCAAATGAATTACAGTAGCCAGCACTCTGAGAGCAAAGGATTAGGATTCACAATATAGCCATCCAGTCATGTGCTGGCAAAATCAGGGCACTGTTGTGCACAGAGCTGGATGTTTTTATGTGATGGGACAGCCCTAATCCTGACCTCTGAAAAGTCATAAACTGCCTTCTCTGAAGGCTGCTAGACTACTTCCGTGGGAGGCTAGTTTTGCATGTTTTGTAAACAAGTGATCAATTGTACATAGAAACATACATAATCACTTTTTCTGTACAATACATTTCATCACAAAGGGCTGTGCCACTATCTCAAGGTATGGTATAATTCTTTGGTCAATGTCATGATGATCCTCACGTCTCCTATCCTCGTCCCCCAGGCGAAGCGTATGTTTGATGGGGAGCTGGCTAGCTTGGAAGCCATCGTTATGACAGACACAGTGAAGGTCCCCAAGCCTGTCAAGGTGATAGAGCTGGATACAGGAGGGGCTGTGTTCGTCATGGAACATGTTGACATGAGGGGTCTCAGCAGGTAAGAGAATCTCCTCATATACTGTATAATACACGTATTTGATCTCTTCTTCTTCTTCTTCTTCTTCTTCTTCTTCTTCTTCTTCTTCTTCTTCTTCTTCTTCTTCTTCTTCGTCTTCTTCTTCTTCTGTATGCATTAGTAAAGTATTAGTGTTATGTCAGACTTTATTGTGATGATTGAGTGTGTTAATGATTGTCTGATTGATTCCCCCAGGCACTCTAAGCAGCTGGGAGAGCGTCTGGCTGATCTGCACCTACACAACCAGAGACACAGGGACAGACAGAACAAGGAACAGCAGACAGTTGGTAACTCACCTAGTCCATTGATTGACTGATCAATTTTTTTGGGTAAAACAATTCGTACAGTTTAAAAGTCAAGCTTTCTCACGTATACAACATCAGACTACTGCATGCCTTCACTCACCACTCTATTAAATGTAAACAGGAAAAGGACCTGATGTTCCTGTCATTGACCAGTTTGGGTTCCATGTCCCCACGTGCTGTGGATACCTCCCTCAGGTGAGCTACTATGCAACAGATTGTCTGATATTGGGTGACAACTAGATTTCCACCTTTCCCACAAGTGAATACGAGACTGGAATATGTGGTAACATGGGATTTAAACTGTATGCTGTACAAATAAATAAACAGAGTCACACACTCAATATACAAGCTCCCAGTAATTTATTGGGTAAACCACCAACGTTTCGGCATCACTGTGCCTTCAACATGGGATTTAAAAGACAAACTGGATGAGAAAACCTGCCACTTTTTGAATGACATTTATCTGTGTTCCACTTTCTAACCTCTCTTTGTCTCTCTCTCATCAGGAGAATGAGTGGCAGAGTGACTGGGTAACATTCTACTCTCAGCACAGACTACAGCACCAACTCAACATGGTGGAGACGTCTTATGGAGACAGGGAGGCCAGGGAACTATGGTCCCAGCTACAGGTAACTGTAAAACTAGGTAACTACAGGGAACTATGGTCCCAGCTACAGGTAACTGTATAACTAGGTAACTACAGGGAACTATGGTCCCAGCTACAGGTAACTGTATAACTAGGTAACTACAGGGAACTATGGTCCCAGCTACAGGTAACTGTATAACTAGGTAACTACAGGGAACTATGGTCCCAGCTACAGGTAACTATATAGCTAGGTAACTACAGGGAACTATGGTCCCAGCTACAGGTAACTGTTTTTTTTTTTTTTTTTTTTTTAGGGGGTAGATCAGCTTTAAATATTTCAGATAGATTGTAACTTCCATCAATGTAATTGTCTGCATCACTTCCAATCCCCCATATGTTTTTTTCTCTCGCAAATATATATATATATATATATATATATATATATATATATATATATATATATACAGTGGGGGAAAAAATTATTTAGTCAGCCACCAATTGTGCAAGTTCTCCCACTTAAAAAGATGAGAGAGGCCTGTAATTTTCATCATAGGTACACGTCAACTATGACAGACAAAATGAGGAAAAAAAATCAAGAAAATCACATTGTAGGATTTTTAATGAATTTATTTGCAAATTATGGTGGAAAATAAGTATTTGGTCAATAACAAAAGTTTCTCAATACTTTGTTATATACCCTTTGTTGGCAATGACACAGGTCAAACGTTTTCTGTAAGTCTTCACAAGGTTTTCACACACTGTTGCTGGTATTTTGGCCCATTCCTCCATGCAGATCTCCTCTAGAGTAGTGATGTTTTGGGGCTGTCGCTGGGCAACACGGACTTTCAACTCCCTCCAAAGATTTTCTATGGGGTTGAGATCTGGAGACTGGCTAGGCCACTCCAGGACCTTGAAATGCTTCTTACGAAGCCACTCCTTCGTTGCCCGGGCGGTGTGTTTGGGATCATTGTCATGCTGAAAGACCCAGCCACGTTTCATCTTCAATGCCCTTGCTGATGGAAGGAGGTTTTCACTCAAAATCTCACGATACATGGCCCCATTATTCTTTCCTTTACACGGATCAGTCGTCCTGGACCCTTAACAGCCCCAAAGCATGATGTTTCCACCCCCATGCTTCACAGTAGGTATGGTGTTCTTTGGATGCAACTCAGCATTCTTTGTCCTCCAAACACGACGAGTTGAGTTTTTACCAAAAAGTTCTATTTTGGTTTCATCTGACCATATGACATTCTCCCAATCGTCTTCTGGATCATCCAAATGCACTCTAGCAAACTTCAGACGGGCCTGGACATGTACTGGCTTAAGCAGGGGGACACGTCTTGCACTGCAGGATTTGAGTCCCTGGCGGCGTAGTGTGTTACTGATGGTAGGCTTTGTTACTTTGGTCCCAGCTCTCTGCAGGTCATTCACTAGGTCCCCCCGAGTGGTTCTGGGATTTTTGCTCACCGTTCTTGTGATCATTTTGACCCCACGGGGTGAGATCTTGCGTGGAGCCCCATATCGAGGGAGATTATCAGTGGTCTTGTATGTCTTCCATTTCCTAATAATTGCTCCCACAGTTGATTTCTTCAAACCAAGCTGCTTACCTATTGCAGATTCAGTCTTCCCAACCTGGTGCAGGTCTACAATTTTGTTTCTGGTGTCCTTTGACAGGTCTTTGGTCTTGGCCATAGTGGAGTTTGGAGTGTGACTGAGGTTGTGGACAGGTGTCTTTTATACTGATAACAAGTTCAAACAGGTGCCATTAATATAGGTAACGAGTGGAGGACAGAGGAGCCTCTTAAAGAAGAAGTTACAGGTCTGTGAGAGCCAGAAATATTGCTTGTTTGTAGGTGACCAAATACTTATTTTCCACCATAATTTGCAAATAAATTCATTAAAAATCCTACAATGTGATTTTCTGGATTTTCTTTTCTCAATTTGTCTGTCATAGTTGACGTGTACCTATGATGAAAATTACAGGCCTCTCTCATCTTTTTAAGTGGGAGAACTTGCACAATTGGTGGCTGACTAAATACTTTTTCCCCCCACTGTATACTTATTATGGACACAGTATGCTTTACATTAGTTATCTTGTTGTTATTAGGTGTTGTTATTAGTCCTATCCTTCAGCTCCATTCAACACCTCCCATCTATCTCGTAACACCATCCATATTGGATTTCTATTTGCCATATATTTTTCAACTGTACTGTGATGTTTTACAAAAGTTCTGAACCTTTCTATTCTCATTGTTTCTACAGATCGTAAATTGAATATAATTTTTTTTGCTAAAAGTATTATTATATTATTGATCGTTTGACTATGACTTTTCAGATCACCCAGTAGTGCTATCTGCAGGGTTAGCTCCAGGTAAATATTGCAATCCTTTAGCCATTCCTGGACCTGTGTCCAAAAACAAGCTACAAATGGACAGTACCAAAACAAATGATCTAATGATTCTGTCTCTTCGCAACAAAATCTGCAGAGCTGGGAAGATTGTATCCCCCATATAAATAACATTCTATTGGTAGTAAGAATTTTATATAATAATTTAAATTGAAAAATTCTAAGTTTTGAATCCGGCGTCGTTTTGTGTATCAATTCATAAACACTATGCCATGGAATCGGTACGTCAAAAATTTCTTCCCAACTATTTTGCAATCTATATGGGACAGCTGTCAATCCTTTGGTCCTTAAATGAAACTGGTATACTTTTTTATTTATCACAATTTTCTTTAACCCATTATATTCTTTAATGCAAGGCCGACAGACAAGTTCCTTACTTTTTCCACCTTCCACTTTCCTTTTCCATTTTTGCGGTAATGCTGCAATTATTTGGTTGTCGTTTTGGGTAGAGCAGACATTTCCATATGTTTTTGTTAGCTGCATGTGCGACATAACTCCACCAGTCCTACCAATAATATCATTTACGCAGATTATACCTTTCTTAAACATTTTGTCAAAAAAATGTAATATATTTGAGTTTAACCACAATATTTGTTGCATTATTTGTTCTGTCGTTTCTGGAGGATTAAATTGAAATTGCAACCAACTTTCTATGGCTTGTTTTAGAAATAGTGATATTTGGGAGATTATTTCCTTTTCAAATAACTTAAAGTGAGAGGTTGTAATCTGAATAAAGGGAAAAAGGCCATTCTTGAACATTGGTTGAGACAATTTTACTAATTTTGCTAGAGAACCAGTTCGGATTTAAGTATAACTTTTGTATGACTGAAGCTTTTAGTAATAGGTCTAATGCTTTAATATTTAATCATTTCTGTCCTCCGAATTCATATTCATTATATAAATAGGCCCGTTTAATTTTGTCTGGCTTGTCATTCCAAATAAAATAGAATATTTTTTTTCTTATATAATTTCAAAAACTGGTCGCTAGGCCATAAGCAAATAGGTAAACTGGGATAATACTAAAGAGTTAATCAGGGTGATTTTTCCACAAATTGACAGGTATTTAACCTTTCCATGGTAGAAAGATCTTATCTATTTTTGCTAACTTTCTATTAACATTTATTGGAGTGAGATCATTTATTTCATTTGGGATATGTATTCCGAGTATATCCACATCACCATCAGACCATTTTATTGGTAAACTACATGGTAATGTAAAAATTGTATTTTTTAGTGATCCAATACGTAATATAGTACATTTATCATAATTTGGTTGTAATCCAGAGAGGTTAGAAAATGTATCTAGATCCTCTATGAGGCTGTGGAGGGACTCAAGTGGATTTAAAAGAAAACATGAATCATCAGTGTACAATGACACCTTTGTTTTTAAGCCCTGGATTTCTAATCCCTTGATATTATTGTTGGATCTGATTTTAATAGCTAACATCTCGATGGCAATAATAAATAGATACAGTGGGGAAAATAAGTATTTAGTCAGCCACCAATTGTGCAAGTTCTCCCACTTAAAAAGATGAGAGAGGCCTGTAATTTTCATCATAGGTACACGTCAACTATGACAGACAAATTGAGAATTTTTTTCTCCAGAAAATCACATTGTAGGATTTTTTATGAATTTATTTGCAAATTATGATGGAAAATATGTATTTGGTCACCTACAAACAAGCAATATTTCTGGCTCTCACAGACCTGTAACTTCTTCTTTAAGAGGCTCCTCTGTCCTCCACTCGTTACATTTACATTTACATTTAAGTCATTTAGCAGACGCTCTTATCCAGAGCGACTTACAGGAGCAATTAGGGTTAAGTGCCTTGCTCAAGGGCACATTAACGTCATTTAGCAGACGCTCTTAGCCAGAGCGACTCACAAATTGGTGCGTTCACCCTATAGCCAGTGGGATAACCACTTTACAATTTGGGGGGGGGGGGGGGGGGGGTGGAAGGATTACTTTATCCTATCCCAGGTATTCCTTAAAGAGGTGGGGTTTCAAATGTCTCCGGAAGGTGGTGAGTGACTCCGCTGTCCTGGCGTCGTGAGGGAGCTTGTTCCACCATTGGGGTGCCAGAGCAGCGAACAGTTTTGACTGGGCTGAGCGGGAACTATGCTTCCGCAGAGGAAGGGGAGCCAGCAGGCCAGAGGTGGATGAACGCAATGCCCTCGTTTGGGTGTAGGGACTGATCAGAGCCTGAAGGTACAGAGGTGCCGTTCCCCTCACTGCTCCATAGGCAAGCACCATGGTCTTGTAGCGGATGCGAGCTTCAACTGGAAGCCAGTGGAGTGTGCGGAGGAGGGGGGTGACGTGAGAGAACTTGGGAAGGTTGAACACCAGACGGGCTGCGGCATTCTGGATGAGTTGTAGGGGTTTAATGGCACAGGCAGGGAGGCCAGCCAACAGCGAGTTGCAGTAGTCCAGCCGGGAGATGACAAGTGCCTGGATTAGGACCTGTGCCGCTTCCTGTGTAAGGCAGGGTCGTACTCTCCGAATGTTGTAGAGCATGAACCTGCAGGAGCGGGTCACCGCCTTGATGTTGGCGGAGAACGACAGGGTGTTGTCCAGGGTCACGCCTAGGCTCTTCGCACTCTGGGAGGAGGACACAGCGGAGTTGTCAACCGTGATGGCGAGATCATGGAACGGGCAGTCCTTCCCCGGGAGGAAGAGCAGCTCCGTCTTGCCAGGGTTCAGCTTGAGGTGGTGATCCGTCATCCATACTGATATGTCTGCCAGACATGCAGAGATGCGATTCGCCACCTGGTTATCAGAAGGGGGAAAGGAGAAGATTAGTTGTGTATCGTCAGCGTAGCAATGATAGGAAAGGCCATGTGAGGATATGACAGAGCCAAGTGACTTGGTGTATAGGGAGAAAAGGAGAGGGCCTAGAACTGAGCCCTGGGGGACACCAGTGGTGAGAGCACGTGGTGCGGAGACAGCTTCTCGCCACGCCACTTGGTAGGAGCGACCGGTCAGGTAGGACGCAATCCAGGAGTGAGCCGCGCCGGAGATGCCCAGCTCGGAGAGGGTGGAGAGGAGGATCTGATGGTTCACAGTATCAAAGGCAGCAGACAGGTCTAGAAGGACAAGAGCAGAGGAGAGAGAGTTAGCTTTAGCAGTGCGGAGAGTCTCCGTGACACAGAGAAGAGCAGTCTCAGTTGAATGACCAGTCCTGAAACCTGATTGGTTTGGATCAAGAAGGTAATTCTGAGAGAGATAGCAAGAGAGTTGGCTAAAGACGGCACGCTCAATAGTTTTGGAAAGAAAAGAAAGAAGGGATACTGGTCTGTAGTTGTTGACATCAGTGGGGTCGAGTGTTGGTTTTTTGAGAAGGGGAGCAACTCTCGCTCTCTTGAAGACGGAAGGGACATGGCCAGCGGTCAAGGATGAGTTGATCAGCGAGGTGAGGTAGGGGAGAAGGTCACCGGAGATGGTCTGGAGAAGGGAGGAGGGGATGGGGTCAAGCGGGCAGGTTGTTGGGCGGCCTGCAGTCACAAGTCGCAGGATTTTATCTGGAGAGAGAGGGGAGAAAGAAGTCAAAGCATAGGGTAGGGCAGTGTGAGCAGGACCAGCAGTGTCATTAGACTTAACAAACGAGGATCGGATGTCGTCAACCTTCTTTTCAAAGTGGTTGACGAAGTCATCCACAGAGAGAGAGGAGGGGGGGGGGGGGGGGGGGAGGATTCAGGAGGGAGGAAAATGTGGCAAAGAGCTTCCTAGGGTTAGAGGCAGATGCTTGGAATTTAGAGTGGTAGAAGGTGGCCTTAGCAGCAGAAACAGATGAAGAAAATGTAGAGAGGAGGGAGTGAAAAGATGCCAGGTCGGCAGGGAGTTTAGTTTTCTTCCATTTCCGCTCCGCTGCCCGGAGCTCTGTTCTGTGAGCTCGCAATGAGTCATCAAGCCACGGAGCTGGAGGGGAGGACCGAGCCGGCCGGGAGGATAGGGGACACAGAGAGTCAAAGGATGCAGAAAGGGAGGAGAGGAGGGTTGAGGAGGCAGAATCAGGAGATTGGAGGGAGAAGGATTGAGCAGAGGGAAGAGATGATAGGATGGAAGAGGAGAGAGTAGTGGGAGAGAGAGAGCGAAGGTTGCGGCGGCGCATTACCATCTGTGTAGGGGCAGAGTGAGTAGTGTGGGAGGAGAGCGAGAGAGAAAAGGAAACAAAGTAGTGGTCGGAGACATGGAGGGGAGTTGCAGTGAGATTAGTAGAGGAGCAGCATCTAGTGAAGATGAGGTCAAGCGTATTGCCTGCCTTGTGAGTGGGGGGGGACGGTGAGAGGGTGAGGTCAAAAGAGGAGAGGAGTGGAAAGAAGGAGGCAGAGAGAAATGAGTCAAATGTGGACATAGGGAGGTTGAAATCCCCCAAAACTGTGAGGGGTGAGCCATCCTCAGGGAAGGAACTTATCAAGGCGTCAAGCTCATTGATGAACTCTCCAAGGGAACCTGGAGGGCGATAGATGACAAGGATATTAAGCTTAAATGGGCTAGTGACTGTGACAGCATGGAATTCAAATGAGGAGATAGACAGATGGGTTAGGGGAAAAATTGAGAATGTCCACTTGGGAGAGATGAGGATTCCTGTACCACCACCCCTCTGACCAGATGCTCTCGGGGTATGCGAGAACACATGGTCAGACGAGGAGAGAGCAGTAGGAGTAGCAGTGTTTTCAGTGGTGATCCATGTTTCCGTCAGCGCCAGGAAGTCGAGGGACTGGAGGTTGGCATAGGCTGGGATGAAGTCAGCTTTGTTGGCAGCAGAACGGCAGTTCCAGAGGCTGCCTGCGACCTGGAACTCCAGGTGTGGGGTGCGTGCGGGGACCACCAGGTTAGAGAGGCAGCAGCCACGCGGTGTGGTGCGTTTGTGTAGCCTGTGCAGAGAGGAGAGAACAGGGATAGGCAGAGGCATAGTTGACAGGCTGTAGCAAATGGCTACAAAAATGCAGAGGAGATCGGAATGAAATGAGCTAAGCATCTGGGAGAGGAGAGAGCAGGGCCTCCCTCACCAAAAACTTCTACCTCAGAAACTAAAATTGTTTCACTGAACCACCCGAACAAAAACTCTCCCAACTTCCACCTTTAGAAATCAGAATTGTTGTGAACCACAGCGGTTCAATGTTTAAAGGAATAGACTCAACCCACTTTATTCAGCTAGCTAACTATGACACCATAGCTAACTAGCAAGCTAGCATCCAATAACAATAACACACCGTTTAGCACCAACACTTGGTCACAACAAACCACCAATAGTGTGATAACACACTAAACAGATCATTCGTGTCTGTGTCAAGTTCCTTTCATGACGCAGCAATGATTAAACGTTGGCTAGCTAGGACAAGTATATTGTATTTAGCTACTACAGTACAGTTAGCTGGTCGTGGTGGGTAGCTAGCAATGGCCACTGTGTTGACTTTGTTTGAAGAACGGCTAGCTAGCTAGCTTCGTGCTACCCCCGGCACACAATGGCTACTGTGTTGACTCTGACTCTGTTCGAAAAAAACAGCTAGTTAGCTCGCTTCGTGCTACAGCCGAAGACACTGCCAACCTACAGTAACTAACCACAACAACCCACGATGCCTAGCTATGACGCCGTAGCTAACTAGCAAGCTAGCATCCATTAACACACAATTTAGCACCAATACTTGGTTACAACAAACTGCCAAGAGTGTGTTAGCACACTAAACAGATAATTCATGTCCGTGTCTAGTTCCTTTCATAACGCATAACGCAGCAAACAATTAAACGTTGGCTAGCAGCACATTAACATTGGAAACAGCTCTCCACCGTTGCTAATCGTTACCAGTAGCTACCCGCTAGCTAGCTAGCCTCGTGCTTCGATACTAACCTACTATTACCTACGGAAACCTACAATAACAACAATACTAACCTATGATAAATACAATACCTAACTACAACTAACTACCTACCTACGATCTAATACATGGTTAAGCTTTACTCAACACCATATGAGAAGCTTACCTCCTGCTTACCTCCAGCTAAAGAAAAACACAACCTCTCCCGAGGTTGACTGCCTCTCCACGGGGTTACCTGTATTAATGGCACCTGTTTGAACTTGTTATCAGTATAAAAGACACCTGTCCACAACCTCAAACAGTCACACTCCAAACTCCACTATGGCCAAGACCAAAGAGCTGTCAAAGGACACCAGAAACAAAATTGTAGACCTGCACCAGGCTGGGAAGACTGCATCTGCAATAGGTAAGCAGCTTGGTTTGAAGAAATCAACTGTGGGAGCAATTATTAGGAAATGGAAGACATACAAGACCACTGATAATCTCCCTCGATCTGGGGCTCCACGCAAGATCTCACCCCGTGGGGTCAAAATGATCACAAGAACGGTGAGCAAAAATCCCAGAACCACACAGGGGGACCTAGTGAATGACCTGCAGAGAGCTGGGACCAAAGTAACAAAGCCTACCATCAGTAACACACTACGCCGCCAGGGACTCAAATCCTGCAGTGCCAGACGTGTCCCCCTGCTTAAGCCAGTACATGTCCAGGCCCGTCTGAAGTTTGCTAGAGTGCATTTGGATGATCCAGAAGACGATTGGGAGAATGTCATATGGTCAGATGAAACCAAAATATAACTTTTTGGTAAAAACTCAACTCGTCGTGTTTGGAGGACAAAGAATGCTGAGTTGCATCCAAAGAACACCATACCTACTGTGAAGCATGGGGGTGGAAACATCATGCTTTGGGGCTGTTTCTCTGCAAAGGGACCAGGACGACTGATCCGTGTAAAGGAAAGAATGAATGGGGCCATGTATCGTGAGATTTTGAGTGAAAACCTCCTTCCATCAGCAAGGGCATTGAAGATGAAACGTGGCTGGGTCTTTCAGCATGACAATGATCCCAAACACACCGCCCGGGCAACGAAGGAGTGGCTTCGTAAGAAGCATTTCAAGGTCCTGGAGTGGCCTAGCCAGTCTCCAGATCTCAACCCCATAGAAAATCTTTGGAGGGAGTTGAAAGTCCGTGTTGCCCAGCGACAGCCCCAAAACATCACTGCTCTAGAGGAGATCTGCATGGAGGAATGGGCCAAAATACCAGCAACAGTGTGTGAAAACCTTGTGAAGACTTACAGAAAACGTTTGACCTGTGTCATTGCCAACAAAGGGTATATAACAAAGTATTGAGAAACTTTTGTTATTGACCAAATACTTATTTTCCACCATAATTTGCAAATAAATTCATAAAAAATCCTACAATGTGATTTTCTGGATTTTTCCCCCTCATTTTGTCTGTCATAGTTGACGTGTACCTATGATGAAAATTACAGGCCTCTCTCATCTTTTTAAGTGGGAGAACTTGCACAATTGGTGGCTGACTAAATACTTTTTTCCCCCACTGTACATATCGGATGAACCGTTTAGAAATGACAGCACCTTTTGTACATGGTCCACCCATTTTAAGGTACTACAAGTATTTGTTAAATTGGCTTCACAGATGTGTGTCGTTAGGCAGGTGTATTCATTTGTGTCGTTAGTGAATGCAGGAGAGCTGTTGATGAATAGTATTGATTCTAGACTTTGCTATTGCCTTTGGGGTTGTTGTTGGGGTGTGACAACATGAGGAAGACAGCAGTGTCGATGCAAATGAAGCTGGCCGTCATAAGGCTCAGAAATGAAAATCAATCAATCAGGAACATTGCAAAAACCCTGGCCATGCCCAAGTCAACAGTTTGGTTCATTATTAACAAGAAAAAAACAACCAGTGAACTCAATTATGTCAAAAGACCCAGTAGACAGAGGAAGACCACTGTAGTGGATGACCGGAGAATACTCTCTATGGTGAAGAAAACCCCCCTGACAACAGCCCAACAGATCAAAAACACTCTCCTGGATGCAGGTGTAGATGTGTCAAAGTCTACCATACGTAGAAGACTACACCAGGAGGACTACAGAGGGTACACTACAAGATGCAAACCACTGATAAGCCTGAAGAACAGAAAGGCGAGATTACAGTTTGCTAAAAAGCACCTAAAAGAGCCCTAAGAGTTCTGGAAAAAAGTATTGTGGACAGATGAGACAAAGATGAACATGTACCAGAGTGATGGAAAGAGGAAAGTGTGGAGAAAAAAAAGAAATGCCCATGATCCAAAGCTTACCACCTCATCGTGAAACATGGTGGAGGGGGTGTTATGGCTTGGGCCTGTATGGCTGCCAGTGGAACAGGCTCACTTGTCTTCATCGATGATGTGACTGCAGACAGAAGTAGAACAATGAATTCTGATTCTACAGAAATATTGTATCTGCTCAGATAAAACCAAATGCCTCCAAACTCATTGGACGGCACTTCATCATGCAACAAGACAATGACCCTAAACATTCTGCTAGAGCAATGAAAGGATTTTTGATGGCCAAAAAGTGGAAAATCCTTGACTGGCTGAGTCAATCACCGGATCTGTATCCAATTGAACATGCATTTTACATGCTGAAGAGGAGACTGAAGGCAATAAGTCCCCGAAACAAGCAGGAATTGAAGATGGCTGCAGTACAGGCCTGGCAGAGCATCACCACGGAAGATACCCAGCGTCTGGTGATGTCGATGCATCGCAGACTTCAAGCAGTCATTGCATGCAAAGGATATGCGACCAAATATTAACAATGATTACTTTATTCTACATTATGTTAAATTGTCCAATGTTTTTTGATGCCCGAAAATGGGGGTGACCATGTACATATTATATATATTGTCAAAGAAGTGTGGATCATCATTATTTGGTCCATAAAGTTGAATGAGCCATATCTGTTTATGGTCCAATAACATATTTAAAATAATTCATCTACCCTGCGTATCTGTTTGGACAATTTGCACATTCGGATCGAAATTACTGTTAATTAATATCATCACCCCTACAGGTAACTGTTAAAACAACAACACAGACTACAACAGCAGCTCAACATGGTTCTCTACTATGCCCAATCCCAAACCAACCCCTTACCCCTATGCACTTTTTGAGATCTGAGAGGACTTTATGGGTGATTGATCTTCTGTCTGATATCTCCTTTCCTCTCCTTAGCTGAAGATCCCTCAGCTATTTACCGACATCGAGGTGTTCCCCGCCCTGCTTCACGGGGACCTGTGGGGGGGAAACGTGGCAGAGTGTTCCGACGGCCCTGTCATTTTCGACCCTGCCTCCTTCTATGGCCACGCTGAGTACGAGCTGGGCATCGCCGGGATGTTCGGAGGTTTCAGTGACTCCTTCTACTCTGGGTACCACAACAAGATCCCCAAGGCCCCGGGGTTTGATAAGAGGAATCAGCTGTACCAACTCTTCCACTATCTGAACCACTGGAATCACTTTGGTGGAGGATACAGAGGGTCCTCACTGAGGATCATGAAGGATCTGGTCAAATACTGACCACTGATCATCGCTGTACAGTAGCATGATGTACAACTACACTACCCATAATGCTCTGTAACATAAACACACCAATGACACTGACCAGCTTGAAGGACCTTACAAAGTCTTACACTGCAGCTTAGTGTTCCATCCAGAAGGGAACAAATCAATTTTTGGGTGAAAATATTAGTTCTTTCGAAAACCTTTTAACTCAAAAAGCAAGAAACAAGAAAACTATGATGCTATGGTATAGAAGAGAGATTCCACAGAATCCCATTCTATATTCCTATTTATCTTGAAATGCTTGAGAAATATATCATTTTTGAGTTCACATTCCACAGCTGTTTGAAAGCATAATTGTGATTTTAATGCTACAGTGTAAAACAGAGTATTGCACATCCTGCTTAAATAAGAAACATAGCAGCAAGCAAGGTTATGATCTGTTTGAGTTGTAATAATTAGCTTTGTTAAAAGCTGTGTTAATACTAATAATGCAATGCTAAATAAAGTACATTACTTGCTTCTTTGGTGTTGGTTCTTCCTGTATCCTGGCCAATATACACTAAACTAGGTTTTTGAATACCTCAATAAGGACAATAACCTAAAAAAGGGCAACAGTGTACAAAACATTAGGAACACCTTCTTATTATTAAGTTGCACCCTCATTTGCCCTCAGAACAGCCTCAATTCGTAGGGGCATGGACTCTACAAGGGGTCGAATGTGTTCCACTGGGATGCTGGCCCATGTTGACTCCAATGCTTCCCACAGTTGTGTCAAGTTGGATGTCCTTTGGGTGGTTGACCATTCTTGATACCACAGGAGGTTTGGTGGCACCTTAATTGGGGAGAACGGGCTTGTGTTAATGACTGTAGTGGAATCGGTGGAATGGTATCAAACACATGGTTTCCAGGTGTTTGATGCCATTCCATTTGCTCCGTTTCAGCCATTATTATGAGCTGTTCTCTCCTCAGCAGCCTCCTGTGCTTGATACACACAGGAAACTGTTGAGTGTGAAAAACCCAGCATCGTTGCAGTTCTTGACACACACAAACCGGTGTGCCTTGCACCTATTGCCATAACCTGTTCAAAGGCACTTAAATATATTGTCTTGCCCATTCACCTTCTGAATGGCACACATACACAATCCATGTTTCAATTGTCTCAAGGCTTAAACTTCCTTATTTAACCTGTCTCCTCCCCTTCATCTACACTGATTGAGGCAGGGAGCTTAGTGGGTAAGAGCGTTGTGCTCTTCTAATCCCCGAGCCGACTAGGTGAAAAATCTGTTGATGTGCCCTTAAGCAAGGCACTTAACCCTAATTGCTCCTGTAAGTCGCTCTGGATAAGAGCGTCTGCTAAATGACTAAAATGTAAATTTAACAGGTGAAATCAATAAGGGATCATAGCATTCACCTGGTCAGTCTATGTCATGGAATGAGCAGGTGTTCTTAATGTTTTGTACGCTCAGTGTATTTTATTTTTTATTTTCATAATATACATGAGGTGAGATAATATTTCCACCTCTGAATATGTCTGATGCAAGAGATTGAAGAGACATGCATGATGCATGAACCTCTTTGGTGTGGCGCGTCTCTCATTAACGAAACGCTTTTTGTCCCCATTCGCTTAACGTACTGTAGGGTGGAGCAACTTGCAAACTTCACAACAGATAACAGACATCCGCAACTGCGTGAGCATCATCATCCGAAGTTATAATAATTCATTTTCTGGACAGAATTTTCATAACTACAGGTATGCATTCATAAGCTTACGATAACCAAATGTATGAGCTGTGTGTGTTCACTGATCACTCAAATTCTGTTTGATTTATGTTGCCACTTGCCAACCAACAGCACTAGCTAGTAAGCTAGCATCATTGGCTAGTATCGGCATGGATAGAACCAATTCAGTGACACGCCCATGCTAGGCGTCACACTGTTCTCATCTAGCTATGAAAACTACAAGGCAAACTAGCTACACTTGCTAGCTATTATGAAGACGTGTGTTTAAACATTAGACAGTAGACATGCATATAACCAAGTGCATGAAATGTATCAAATCTGTCATACCGGTAATCTAGGCAAGTATAATGGCCCAGACCGACATGGATTCCGGGGAGGATGGAGGCGGCGGCGGGGAGCCCGAGGTGATCGCTAAAGCCAGTGTCTTGGGAGGTTTTACAGAGAGCACTGAGATTCGAGCCCTGATCTCCAACCTACCAGAGGTTCACGAGAACATCGTGACACTGGAGTCAGCCATAGAGAGGTTCCTCGGTGAGATTCATACTCCACATGTTTAGTCTGTTGTTGTGGCCAACTTAATCCAGTCTTGCATGGAACAGTCTGTGGGCTTTAGGCCTAAATGCTTGTACTAACTACAGACATAAGTCGTAATAACACATTCATAACCTATACATACCACAATCATAAGCAGTCAAAGAAAAGTCAACAACTTTATGTTGACCAGTTATTTTTTTTCTACAGTGATAATGGACCGTTATCAAGAGCAGCCCCATCTTCTGGATCCACATCTGGGTAACAACACACATACAGACACGCACAGCACATGATCTTCTGCATTAGTGAAACGTGCGCTTGTTATGATCGCATGATGATGACAGTGTTTCTTTCCTGTGACCACAGAGTGGATGTTGAACCTGCTGTTGGACCTCATCAGGAGTGAACAGTCTCCTCCTCTACTGGTTCACCTGGGCTTCAAATTCCTCTACATCATCTCCAAGGTAACTACAGACAGATGTATTCAGCTACATCATCTCCAAGGTAACTACAGACGGATGTATTCAGCTACATCATCTCCAAGGTAACTACAGACAGATGTATTCAGCTACATCCTCTCCAAGGTAACTACAGACAGATGTATTCAGCTACATAATCTCCAAGGTAGACATTTGAAACCCCACCTCTTTAAGGAATACCTGGGATAGGATAAAGTAATCCTTCTACCCCCCCCCCCCAAAAAATTGTAAAGTGGTTATCCCACTGGCTATAGGGTGAACGCACCAATTTGTGAGTCGCTCTGGATAAGAGCGTCTGCTAAATGACGTAAATGTGCCCTTGAGCAAGGCACTTAACCCTAATTGCTCCTGTAAGTCGCTCTGGATAAGAGCGTCTGCTAAATGACTAAAATGTAAAATGTAAATGTAAATGTAACTACAGACAGATGTATTCAGCTACATCCTCTCCAAGGTAACTACAGACAGATGTATTCAGCTACATCATCTCCAAGGTAACTACAGACAGATGTATTCAGCTACATCATCTCCAAGGTAACTACAGACAGATGTATTCAGCTACATCATCGCCAAGGTAACTACAGACATGTATTCAGCTACATCATCTCCAAGGTAACTACAGACAGATGTATTCAGCTACATCATCTCCAAGGTAACTACAGACATGTATTCAGCTACATCATCTCCAAGGTAACTGCAGACAGATGTATTCAGCTACATCATATCCAAGGTAACTACAGACAGATGTATTCATATACAGTGCAGTTGGAAAGTATTCAGACCCCTTCACATTTTCTACATTTTGTTACATTACAGCCTTATTCTAAAATGGATTAAATTGTTTTTTTCCCTCATCAATCTACACACAATACCCCGTAATGACAATGCAGAAACAGGTTTTTGCAAATGTATACAAAATAAAATAATGAAATATCACATTTACATAAGTATTCAAACCCTTTACTCAGTACTTTGTTGAAGCAACTTTGGCAGCGATTACAGCCTCGAGTCTTCTTGGGTATGACGATACAAGCTTGGCACACCTGTATTTGGGGAGTTTCTCCCATTCTTATCTGCAGATCCTCTCAAGCTCTGTCAGGTTGGTTGGGGAGCGTCGCTGCACAGTTACTTTCAGGTCTCTCCAGAGATGTTTGATCAGGTTCAAGTCCAGGCTCTGGCTGGGCCACTCAAGGAAATTCAGAGACTTGTCCCGACGCCACTCCTGCGTTGTCTTGTCTGTGTGCTTAGGGTCGTTGTCCTGTTGGAAGGTGAACTTTCGCCCCAGTCAGAGCAGGTTTTCATCATGGATCTCTGTACTTTGCGCCGTTCATCTTTCCCTCGATCCTGACTAGTCTCACAGTCCCTGCCGCTGAAAAACATCCCCACAGCATGATGCTGCCACCACCATGCTTCACCGTAGGGATGGTATTGGCCAGGTGATGACCAGTGCCTGGTTTTTTCTAGATGTGATGCTTGGCATTCAGGCCAATGAGTTCAATCTTGGTTTATTCAGACCAGAGAATCTTATTTCTCATGGTCTGAGAGTCCTTTAGGTGCATTTTGGCAAACTCCAAGTGGGCTGTCATGTGCCTTTTACTGAGGAGTGGCTTCCGTCTGACCGCTCTACCATTAGGGCCTGATTGGTGGAGTGCTGCAGAGATGGTTGTCCTTCTGGAAGTTTCTCCCATCTCCACAGAGGAACTCTGGATCTCTGTCAGAGTGACCATTGAGTTCTTGGTCGCCTCCCCCCAAGGCCCTTTTCCCCCGATTGCTCAGTTTGGCCAGGTGGCCAGCTCTAGGAAGAGTCTTGGTGATTCCACACTTCTTCCATTTAAGAATGATGGGGGCCACTGTGTTCTTGGGGACCTTCAATGCTGCAGAAATGTTTTGGTACCCTTCCCCAGATCTGTGCCTCGACACAATCCTGTCTCGGAGCTCTACGGACAATTCCTTCAACCTCATGGCTTGGTTTTTGCTCTGACATGCACTGTCAACTGTGGGACATTATATAGACAGATATGTACCTTTCCAAATCATGTCCAATCAATTGAATTTACCACAGGTGGATTCCAATCAAGTTGTAGAAACATCTCAAGGATGATCAATGGAAACAGGATGCAACGGAGCTCAATTTTGAATCTCATAGCAAAGGGTCTGAATACCTATGTAAATAAGGTATTTATGTTTTTTTTTTTTTTTTTTTTGCAAACATTTCTAAAAACCTTTTTGCTTTGTCATTATTGGGTATTGTGTGTAGATTGATGAGGAAAACATTAAATGTCATTCATTTTAGAATAAGGCTGTAACATAACAAAATGTGGAAAAAGTGAAGGAGTCTGAATACTTTCCGAATGCACTGTGTATCATCTCCAAGGTAACTACAGATAGATGTAAAGTTGGTGGTTTGATGAACCACGCTCCTATGATGAGTAACCTTGACTGAGACCTATAGACTCGCGTTAGCTTCTCAAGCTAATGTCTTGGCTTTAGCTCAGCGGTTTAACGCTATTGTGTCACCCAGGTTTGAATCCAGTTGGTCACACAGATAGCAAGATTTCAGTTCACGAAGCCAAGTGTTCTGTTGTGTGTGTTGATTCAGTGGCGTCTTACCCTACAGTCTCAGACTAGAGTTAGAAGTATTGTGCTCAGCTTTCTCAGCCTGTGCAGTTGTGACAAGCCAGACTCCTAACCCCCTGGTGTTTTTGTCTTGGCCAGGTGAGAGGGTATAAGATCTTCATGCAGCTCTTCCCCCATGAGGTGGCTGATGTCCAGCCAGTCCTGGACCTCCTGTGTCGACAGGACCCCAAAGACCCAGAGGTGAGCCTGAATTCCTTAATTACAAGACCTCAATGGAAGGTGAGTCTGTCACTTCCTAGCCCAGTAGCTAATGTAGACCCCCTGATTTCTCATGTTACAAGACCTCAATGGAAGGATAACCCTTTACTTGAAGGGGTACCTTTTATTAAGTATACATTTATAATCATTACATTGCACATTCGTAAGCAGAGTATCCATTGCTTTTACATTTACATTTTACATTTTAGTCATTTAGCAGACGCTCTTATCCAGAGCGACTTACAGTTAGTGCATACATTATTTTATCGAACCCACAACCCTGGCGTTGCAAACGCCATGCTCTACCAACTGAGCTACATCCCCTGCCGGCCAAATCCCTCCCCTACCCTGGACGACGCTGGGCCAATTGTGCGCGCCGCCCCATGGGTCTCCCGGTCGCGGCCGGCTACGACAGAGCCTGGATTCGAACCAGGATCTCTAGTGGCACAGCTAGCACTGCGATGCAGTGCCTTAGACCACTGCGCCACTTTTACCCTCTTGTTGCTTTCTAGATTAGGCCTATAGTGATTTAGCTAACTTGAAACTGTTTACTTCCAAGTTGTTTAATGTATCGTATGTGTAGAAGCTAATGTTTGTCTTTGTGTTGGCCCTGTCTGTATCTTGTTATGGATACAAATCAAATAGTATTCGTCACATGCTTGGTAAACAACAGGTGTAGACTGACAGTGAAATGCTTACTTATGGGCCCTTCCCATCAATACAGAGAGAAAAAAAGAATAGAAAAGTAAAACACGTAATAATAGATACACAATGAGTAACGATAACTTGGCTTTATACACGGGGTACCAGTACTGAGTCTATGTGCAGGATATGAGGTAGTTGAGGTAGATATGTACAGTCGTGGTCAAAGGTTTTGACAATGACACAAATACTAATTTTCACAAAGTCTGCTGCCTCAGTTTTGATGATGGCAATTTGCATATACTCCAGAATGTCATGAAGAGTGATCAGATGAATTGCAATTAATTGCAAAGTCCCTCTTTGCCATGAAAATGAACTTAATCCCAAAAAACATTTCCACTGCATTTCAGCCCTGCCACAAAAGCACCAGCTGCCATCATGTCAGTGATTATCTCGTTAACACAGGTGAGAGTGTTGACGAGGACAAGGCTGGAGATCACTCTGTCATGCTGATTGAGTTAGAATAACAGACTGGAAGCATTAAAAGGAGGCTGGTGTTTGAAATCATTGTTCTTCCTCTGTTAACCATGGTTACCTGCAAGGAAACGCGTGCCGTCATCATTGCTTTGCACAAAAAGGGCTTCACAGGCAAGGATATTGCTGCTAGTAAGATTGCACCTAAATCAACCATTTATCGTATCATCAAGAACTTCAAGGAGAGAGGTTCAATTGTTGTGAAGAAGGCATCAGGGCGCCCAAGAAAGTCCAGCAAGCGCCAGGACCGTCTCCTAAAATTGATTCAGCTGCGGGATCGGGGCACCACCAGTGCAGAGCTTGCTCAGGAATGGCAGCAGGCAGGTGTGAGTGCATCTGGACGCACAGTGAGGCGAAGACTTTTGGAGGATGGCCTGGTGTCAAGAAGGGCAACAAAGAAGCCACTTCTCTCCAGGAAAAACATCAGGGACAGACTGATATTCTGCAAAAGGTACAGGGATTGGAATGCTGAGGACTAGGGTAAAGTCATTTTCTCTGATGAATCCCCTTTCCGATTGTTTGGGGCATCCGGAAAACACCTTGTCCGGAGAAGACAAGGTTAGCGCTACCATCAGACCTGTGTCATGCCAACAGTAAAGCATCCTGAGACCATTCATGTGTGGGGTTGCTTCTCAGCCAAGGGAGTGGGATCACTCACGATTTTGCCTAAGATGTGTTGGTACCATTCATGAATAAAGAATGGTACCAACACATCCTCCGAGAGCAACTTCTCCCAACCATCCAAGAACAGTTTGGTGACAACCAATACCTTTTCTAGCATGATGGAGCACCTTGCCATAAGGCAAAAGTGATAACGAAGTGGCTCGGGGAACAAAATATCAAAATGTTGGGTCAATGGCCAGGAAACTCCCCAGACCTTAATCCCATTGAGAAGTTGTGGTCGATCCTCAAGAGGCGGGTGGACAAACAAAAACCCACAAATTCTGACAAACTCCAAGCATTGATTATGCAAGAATGGGCTGCCATCAGTCAGGATGTGGCCTAGAAGTTAATTGACAGCATGCCAGGGCGGATTGCAGAAGTCTTGAGAAAGAAGGGTCAACACTGCAAATATTGACTCTTTGCATAAACTTAATGTAATTGTGAATAAAAGCCTTTGACACTTATGGAATGCTTGTAATTATACTTCAGTATACCTTAGTAACATCTGACAAAAATATCTCATAACACTAAATCAGCGAACTTTGTGAAGACCAATACTTGTCATTCTCAAAACTTTTGACCACGACTGTACATATAAACAGTAGCAGAAGCGTATGTGATAAGTCAAAAAAGGGTCAATGCAGATAGTCCGGGTAGCTATTGGTTAACTATTTAACTAACTATTTAGCAGTATTATGGCTTGGGGGTAGAAACTGTTCAGGGTCCTATTGGTTCCAAACTTAGTGAATCGGTACCGCTTGCCGTGCGGTAGCAGAGAGAACAGTCTATGACTTGGGTGGCTGGAGTCTTTGACAATTTTTCGGGCCTTCCTCTGACACCGCGGCCCAGTGATGTACTGGGCCGTACGCACTACCCTCTGTAGTGCCTTGCGGTCGGAGGTCAAGCAGTTGCCATACCAAGCAGTGAAGCAGCCAGTCAAGATGCTCTCAATGGTGCAGCTGTAGAACTTTTTGAGGATCTTTTCAACCTCCTGAGGGGGAGGAGGCGTTGTCGTGCCCTCTTCACAACTGTGTTGGTATGTTTGGACCACGATAGATCCTTATTGATGTGGACACTGAGGAAGTTGAAGCTCTCGACACGCTCCACTACAGACCCTTCGATGTGAATGGGGGTGTGCTCGGCCCTCTGTTTCCTGTAGTCCACGATCAGCTCCTTTGTCTTGCTGAGGGAGAGGTTGTTGTTCTGGCACCACGCTGCCAGATCTCTGACCTCCTCCCTATAGGCTGTTTCATCGTCATCGGTGATCACCGTTGTGTCGTGGGCAAACTTAATGATGGTGTTGGAGTCGTGCGTGGCAACGCAGTTGTGGGTGAACAAGGAGTACAGGAGGGGACTAAGCACGCACCCTATGTTGAGGGTCAGCATGGCAGATGTGTTGTTGCCTACCCTCACAGCCAATTTCCCCTCTAGGATTCAATAAAGTAAATTCAAATGTTTCTCTCCTTGCCCCTTCCTGCCAGACCTGGGAGACCATTACATGTTGGTGCTGTGGCTGTCCATGACCTGTCTGATACCCTTTGACCTTTAACCCTAACCCTTCCTCTGCCCCTTGTGTTAGACCTGGGAGACCCGCTACATGTTGCTGCTGTGGCTGTCTATGACCTGTCTGATACCCTTTGACCTCTCCCGTCTTGACGGTCACCTGACCTCTGACCCCGGCCAGGCCAGAGAGCCAATCATGGACCGCATTCTGGCCGTCGCCAAGGTAACTAATTCCAGCCTCTCCTGCCGGTGGGCAATGTTCCGCCGTGTTCTCCCAGGTCCAGTCCATGTATGATGTATTTAGTTTGTAGCTAACCATTTCTCTGTTGTTATTTCCAGTCTTACCTGATGGTCAGTGATAAGTCCAGGGATGCTGCCTCTGTGTTGGTATCAAAGTGAGTATTCAACCTTATTGTTTAAAACCAAAAAAAGCAACATTTGTGTTGCATTTCATGTTCTAGCCAGAAGAGGGAGGACTTGTACTTGAAGATGCCTAGGCCACACACACACACACACACACAGTTTACGGAGTGTTCCTAGCGTGTCGTCATCTAACTGCCTGTGTTTGCAGTTTACGGAGTGGTCCTTGCGTGTTGTCATCTAACTGCCTGTGTTTGCAGGTTTGTGACGCGTCCTGATGTGAAGCTGAAGCGACTAGGAGACTTCCTGGACTGGAGTCTGACCACCATCTCTCAGGCCAGTGACCAGACCATGGGAGGTACTGTGATCCTGGACGGGGCCCTGCAGTCTCTGGTACGACACACACACACACACACACACACACACACACAGTTCGTCTGTCCGTGAGCGCATGTAAGTGTGGATTGCAGTGATCAGTGTGAAGGCCTAGTTTACAAGAGCCTACATGTATGTTTGTGGGAGATCATAGCTCTTGTGGGTTTGGCAGGTTTGGCAGGTGTATAGTGCTGTACCTGTTGTGAGTGTTTGATGACTGGTCCCAGACCTGTTTTAGGAGCTGGTATCCCAGATCCCTAGGGGTTGGCTATACAGCACAAACAGATCTAGGATCAGTGTAGTAGTCCATAGAGGTGCTGTGGCCTAACTAACTAACCCCCAGTCCCTCACGCTCTTCCAGCTTGTCTTTCTCTTTCATCTCTTCCTGTCCTGTAGTTGTGCCGTCACCAACCTCCTTGATTAAACAGTGGATTAGTCTATTTTTTCAGGTTAACTCTTGTGTTGTGTCAGTTAGTCTAAAAAGCTAATTTAATGCAACCCTCAAGCGAGCAGTGTGTAAAAGTCATATTATTGGCGTTGAAACTGGCGCTACCTGTTTTCAAACCGTTTCTCCTTCTCTCTGTGCTTCTGTAATATGACTGGGAGGGGAAACCGGCTTGTCTCTATGTGGCACTCAGAGCGTTTAAAACTGGCTCTGTGTGTTCTGACTGCCCTAAGGGGCTTAAACTGGCTCTGTGTGTTCTGACTGCCTTAAGGGGCTTAGACTGGCTCTAGTAAGCTTTTTTTTTTGCAAAGTTGCATTTTGAATTTCACCATGCAGCAAAACTTAAAAAGAGCCACTGAGAAATGGGGAAAGAGACCGAGAGTGTTATTAGAAGAGTGGTTAAGATGAACCTTTATTGGTTACTTTCAATGCCAATGTAAGTCCTTGCTGCTACAATGTAAAGACATGGAGAAGGTAGAGGTTTGTGGTGCTTTAACCCCAAACAACATGTTGATCGAACCCTTAAAAGGGCAGGAGGCACAACATTATGAACAAAATAGGTGTTGGAATTTCACAACTTTAAAGGAAAATGTATTATTTTGATCTCCTCCACGATATTGATGTTGTTGCCCTCTCTCCTGACTCTCCTCTCTCTCCTGTCTCCTGTCTCTCCTCTCTCTCCTGTCTCTCCTGACTCCTCTCTCTCCTGTCTCTCCTCTCTCTCCTGTCTCTTCTCTCTCCTCTCTCTCCTGACTCTCCTCTCTCTCCTGTCTCTCCTCTCTCTCCTCTCTCTCCTGTCTCTTCTTTCTCCTCTCTCTCCTGACTCTCCTCTCTCTCCTGTCTCTCCTCTCTCTCCTCTCTCTCCTGTCTCTTCTTTCTCCTCTCTCTCCTGACTCTCCTCTCTCTCCTGTCTCTCTTCTCTTTCCTGACTCTCCTGACTCTCCTGACTCTCCTGTGTCTCCTGTGTCTCCTGTGTCTCCTGTGTCTCCTGTGTCTCCTGTCTCTCCTGTCTCTCCTGTCTCTCCTGTCTCTCCTCTCTCTCCTCTCTCTCTCCTCTCTCTCCTGTCTCTCCTCTCTCTCCTGTCTCTCCTCTCCTCTCTCTCCTGTCTCTCCTGTCTCTCCTCTCTCTCCTCTCTCTCCTGTCTCTCCTGTCTCTCCTCTCTCTCCTCTCTCTCCTCTCTCTCCTGTCTCTCCTCTCTCTCCTGTCTCTCCTCTCTCTCCTGTCTCTCCTGTCTCTCCTCTCTCTCCTGTCTCTCCTCTCTCTCCTCACTCTCCTCTCTCTCCTCACTCTCCTCTCTCTCCTCACTCTCCTGTCTCTCCTCACTCCTGTTTCTCCTCTCTCTCCTGTCTCTCCTCTCTCTCCTGTCTCCTGTCTCACTTCTCTCTCTCCTGTCTCACTTCTCTCTCTCCTGTCTCACATCTCTCTCCTGTCTCACTTCTCTCTCTCCTGTCTCACTTCTCTCTCTCCTGTCTCACTTCTCTCTCTCCTGTCTCACTTCTCTCTCTCCTGTCTCACTTCTCTCTCTCCTGTCTCACCGCTCTCTCTCCTGTCTCACCGCTCTCTCTCCTGTCTCACCGCTCTCTCTCTCTCTCCTGTCCTCTCCCCTCTCTTTCCTCTCACCTCTCTCTCCTCTGTCTTCTAGGCCCAGCTATTCAAGCATGGCAAGAGAGATGACTTTCTCCAGTATGGTAAGAATGTCCTTCAATAGTTGCTTTTTGATCAGCAATTTGACTTTAGATTGTGATAAGAAGTTGTCTTACCTCCTTTAATTGAATGTACCTGTTGTCCCTCCATTCTGGATAAGAGCATCTGCTAAATAACTTGAATGTAGGTGATCTTCTGATGTTGACTGATGTGACCATGTTGTGATACTGGCTGTAGGTGATGATGTGAGATACTAATGCTGGGTGTACACTTCACCACTGTCTGAATCCTGACATCGCTGAGCCTCTCACATTGAACCACCGTCTATCCTGTAGTGTTTTGTCTTGCCAACGTAGTGGTGAGCACATTAAACCATGTGACACAGACGGGGAGTCACTTGGTAGTGAGGATTCTCCATACCACGCTGTCTCGCCAAAACAATGATGTGAATAGATTGTTAACGTAGCTACAAGGAGCTGTGGCTCAAAGCAGCCTCATAAATGTTTTCAGTCAGACATTCACACTTGAACTACGGAGTTGAAATATCTAGCCAATGCATTTAGAATTGAATAACATTGCTTGTAAACTTCAGAGCTGCAACGATTTGACGGTTTGGTTAAAGGCAGGTACAAACACATGCTAATAGTAGTCATGGTTCCTGCTCCAGAGTCTACCCATTCTGGGTGATGGGAAACAACGTCGTCATCTCACTGGCTTCTTCTCTGGCCAGCTGTCATTGGCTATTGCTAATCACCGTTCTCAAAAGTTGTCGTTGCACATCTCACACTACAAGAGCGTTTGAGATTTTGTGCCGAAAAAAGATTTTAAAAATATCGTGATGGCTCAAAGACGAGATGGGTAGCCCTCAGATTGCATCTCTGACCCGCTCACATTAAACGAGCGTCGGTGACGGCCACACGCCCCGAGTAGGCAACGACATGAGGAGTTTGTCTCCGATCTCAAGAACTTGTCTGGGACAGCTGAATCGTATGCCTGGCTTAACCTGTGATGCTGCAGTGTCTGGGCCAGTGTAGTGTTACCATGATACTAATGTGTGTCTGTGTGTGTGTTCCCCAGCTCCGGTGGTGCTGCAGTGTCTGGACCAGCGTCATGTGGCAGAGAGCAGCCAGGCTATGCTGAGGAAGCTGGGGGTCAAGCTGATACAGAGACTGGGTCTCACCTTCCTCAAGCCGCGACTGGCCAAGTGGAGGTGAGACGCATGCGCGCGCACACACACACACACACACACACACACACACACACACTGAGGTAGGGGTCAAGCTGATGCAGAGACTGTCTCACCTTCCTCAAGCAGTGGAGGAGACACACACACTCCCTAAATGTTAATTTGGGAGCCTTTGCCGTAGAACATTTCCTAAAGGAAACACTGTGTTGAGACTTTGTGTGTTTGCTTCTCATTCAGGTACCAGAGAGGTAGTCGCTCCCTGGCAGCCAACCTGTCCCAGTCCCAGTCTAGCTCCACTGTAGAGGCTGTTAGCCCAGACATGGAGACCCAGAGCCAGGAGGAGGACTATGATATCCCTGAGGAGGTGGAGAACGTCATCGGTCAGTCAGCATTACTCTCTCTCTCTCTCTGTCTCTCTGTCTCTGTCTCACTGTGTCTCTCATTTGGTTTTTCTCACTGTCTCATTGGTGTTAATGATCTTATGTTCAGTAGGGAGTGCAACATCCTGAACTGCTTGACCAATAACAACACAGATTGACATGTTCTGTTGCAAAACATTTTGTTAGGGTATGCCCTACTGAACTTGACCCACGTCAGGTCTGTTATGGTGTTCAGTCACAGCTATTCAGGTAGTGACTCTCTCTCTGTCTTTTTTATTTCACAGAGCAGCTGTTGGGTGGGCTGAAAGACAAGGAGACCATCGTCCGCTGGTCTGCAGCTAAGGGGTAGAACCTTGTTGTCACATTTTATTAACAGTGATAAACACAAATAGTCTGTCTTTCAGAAGGTAGAATGATGCCTATAGGCAGGAGCACTGAGTAATGTCTGTCATGTTGATGAAGTACGTAATAAATGACTCTTATGTGGGTGGCATCTGAACAGACAAAACGCCTAAAATCCAGAAAGCTGCCTATAGGCAGAAGCACTCCCTCATGTTGATGAAGTACATAATAAATGACTCTTATTCATGTGGCACCTGTTTAGACAAACCTAAGGTAAGATCCAACATGTGTTCTCAGTATTGGGAGGGTGACGGGGAGACTCCCCAAGGAGCTGGCTGACGAGGTGGTTGGATCAGTGTTGGAGTGTTTCAGGTAACAACTGGTGCATTTACAGCTTTGCATTCCATCTGTGTTATGTTATGCTGTTTGTCTGTGCCACTGGGGAGAACATCCTATCAGACAATTTACAGAGATATGTTATGGTATTAAAGCTCCAAAAATAGTCGTTCTGATTCCCATGTAAAATAGCCTTTTGAGTGGGCGGGGAGCTTTATATTCATGAGCTCGCCTTGACTGACAGGTGTTTGAAACGCCTATGTCAAGCAACTTGGATGCAGTGTTGTAGTAAAATCATCTCAAGCAAAATGAAAGTCACGACAGCTGTGATGGAAACCGAAAAGTTTAGGGGTCATTTTATAAAACGGCGACAGATAATTTCTTTGTTCGACGTGGTGGGATCTTTTTTTGTCTGTAAAATTAATTATGCAGGAAATGGCGGTGGAAACGACTTTATGCGCAGCAAATATTGATAAAATAACCATCATATTGAAGTAAATTTGGAGTCACGCAATGATATGGTGTGTGTGTGGTCCTCCCACTACCACTCGGGAAAGCATGCAGTTTATTAGGCTACAGATGAAATAAGTTATGATGAACTTCACAGGGTGGTGAAAGTGCACGGTGATGAGCTTAATGCTCCTTTCCAATAAATATGGAGGGTCTTATTCTGGTGACATGATCGATGCTTGACAAATAAAAATGTTCTCGCTCTTATCCAACCTACCTGCACTGTGTTTGCTGTTGGCCAGAGCGCAGGTGCCAAGACCAGACAAAACTATCGGTAGAGTTGAAAATGCGATGTAAACACAATGAACTTTTTGAATTTTTATTCGGTAAATGAAAACTTAAGCGAAAAAGTACATTTTGTGTGCACTACGTCATCACGCACATACTTTTATCCTCAACAGGACCTTTTGGTGGAAACACACCACTAGTGGGAAAATTCACATATTTTCTTTATGCGGATTCTAGAATATTCACATGAAAATCTGTTGCCAATTGATGGAAACCTAGCTACTGATGTAACAAAAAAATATATACATTTCTCGTTTTGGCATGTCTCTTGTGATGCGGTTCACAGCAACACTGACGGATGTATTGACATGACAACTGCATCAGAGTTTTGAACGACCCTTCCTTTTAATTATATTTGCTGACACCCTACAGTCACATCTTGGCACCAGCAGAGTAGCTATCTAACTATATAAACCACGCCCCTCTGCAAACACGCCTTCTCTGATGTTGGTTACAAGGCGCTACTTATTTAATTTAGGTTAGAGAATATCATGTTACCATTGGTGTATTAAAATGAGAGTTGGGATGATATCACCTTAATAATCCCACCTCCTGAATCCAAGTGTTTGACATGGGGGAGGGGACCAGTAACTTTATGATAAAACTTGATCAATGTAGAAGCAACAGTCATTTTTCATACTTTGGTCATCACATTTTGATCTGATTTCATCCAAATATCATCCAATTTCATGAAAAACATGATTTTGACTGTTCATTACCTTTAAGGTAAGTTTTACGGAGCTCAGGTCAGTTTTGCGGAGCTCAAATGTTATCCTTTGTGTGTTTCTGTTGTAGTTTCCAGGAGACAGACAACGCGTGGCATGGAGGCTGCTTGGCCCTGGCAGAGCTGGGGAGAAGAGGCCTGCTGGTGCCCGCTCGTCTCCCGGACGGTACGTAACAACAACCCTGCACATACTTTGCTAGAGCAGTGTGCGGGAGCTTCTTGTATATCAACTACTACTACATATGTCCTCTGTACCAGCAAAGCAACCCCTAGACTGCACTTCCCTTCTCCATAGACCCTCAGTCACAACAGCCAGGCAACAACCCATGGATAAATATGGACAGATTTTATTTTAGTAAAGCTTTTTTTTTTAGGACAGTATTAAATATATACACCTTATCCCATCACCATGCACCTTGTAGTATACAACATATTATAGTCACTTAAATAGTTCCACCCTTGTTATATACAGCGTTCTGTGATCAAATGGAAAGGGTTAACGTTGATATAAAAAGGCTACCCTGGGCCAAGTCAGTGCAGGTGAGAAGGTTTTTGACAGGGTTTCCCCAGTCCCTATAGCCTACGACATGTTGGTTTAAAACATGAGTCTTGCTTTTAGTGTTTGGTAAATATTTGATCATCCTATAGACAGACAGGGGAGGGTCCATGGAGGTTCAACTGTACAGCTCCTTTACATCCTGGTCCTAGACTGGGGGCCACTGTTGACTGCCTGTGCCAGGTGAATGGGGATTGGTTCAACTGGCACTTTAGTGTTCAGCAGCAGAGAGGTCTCCTCCTCAGTGCTCTCCCTCCTCCTGTCTCCATCACCACCCTGGCCTTCTTAGTCGGTCTCTGTTTCTGAGGTGCTGTAAGCTTGGTGTTTTCCCTGGCTGGTAGCTGGCTCTCTCCCCTGGCAGCTCTCTTCACCCCCCTAGCCTTGGCACTAGACTGTTCAGCCTGGCCCTTGGCTGTGTGTACCTGTTTGACCTTCTTAGAGAGGCCTGAAGTTGTGTGTTTCACCTCCCTGGCGAGGGCTGTGGTTGTTGGGGGACAGGGGCAGCTATGGCTGCCAGAGTTTGTTGGTGTTGGACGTACTGACAGGCTGTCTGCTGCAGTAGAGCGGAGGCTGGAGGAGGAGGAGGAGGAGGAGGAGGAGGAGCTAGCCAGCTGGCAGAGAGCCAGGGCTGCAGTCTGTCTCTGTTGGTCACTGGGCTCCTTGTCTGTTTGGGTGGGAGCTGGGCTGGAGCCCTGTTGACTGAGACCCACTGCGATTAAGGCGGCCAGTTTGGAGCAATGATCTGTGCTGGAGCCCCGTTGAAAACCTCTTGAGGCGGCCATTTTGGAGCAGTGATCTGGACTGCCTGGTGTGGCCCTAAGGCTGAGGTTTAATGGCAGGTCCTCCTCTGTGTGCCGTGTTTCAGGACAGCTCCTCCTGCTGGTGAGGAGGTCAGACTCCTGGTCCTTTTTGGAGAGGTTCAGGGGGATCAGATCTTCCTCAGTATCTTCAACCTCATCATCCTCATCTCGTTCAGATGAGGAGTCGTTGCTTTCGTCAGAGGTGGAGGGCTCTGCGCTGTCGGCTGCCGACCTGAATGAGGATGGAAGACATGTAATATGCTTAGACATATACGATTAGACATCCAATGATACATTTGAATTGACTATTTAGAGCTTTAGGTGTTTTGGCTGGTAAAGAGCTTTGAATTTGAATGAACCATGAACCAGTGTGTGAGGAGAATGCTTGTGCATGTTGTATCATCGCTTACCCTCTTTCCATGTGCTTCGTCCCCACTTGCATCAACAAGCTCTGTGGTGCGTCCTCTTTGTTCACGTCTACTCTGATTGGTTGAGAGGCTGGCTCTGGTCCTCCTGATTGGTTGACAGGCTGTGGTTCCCCCAGGACAGTGTATCTGGAACCCTCAGTAGTGTCTCTCTGGGTGAAGGGGTGTGGAGGGCTGGGTCTGTCAGGGGAGCCCAAGGCAGAACACCCCTCCATGGGGCTTAGTCTGATGGGCTTGTCTCCGCTCTGCTCCCCCTGGCTGTTCCCTTCCTCAGTGGGTCTACTGTGAGGTTCACCATGGAGCCTAGGGTGGATGTAGAAGTCATAGTCCCTAGGTCCCAGGCCGGGGCCTGGTCCTGGGCCGTACACATCCAGAGGAAGGTACCTGGAGCCTGGGATGGGGTGGTGGTGGTCTGGGGGGTGGTACAGGCCATAGGGCAGGTGGAGACCGTATCTGTAGGGATACGGAGGGATGTCAGAAGGGTGGGAGTGGTCCGGGTTCAGGGGTATCACAGTTCTTTGTGGGGTCTCCAGGAAGGTAGGCCGGTAGGTCTGGGAGTTTGGCCCAGAAAGGTGATGCATCCTTGGGATGAAGTAGGGCTGGTAGAGGGGGTGGAGGGCCGGGTGGCGATCGGGAAACGGGTAGGGAGGGTACTCGGGTATTATGTGCGGTGGGAGGGGCTTCAGCGGCATGGAGGCTGCGGCCATTGGGCCCCAGGGGAAGGTGGGGTTATGGAATGATGGCATGGGCGGAGTCAGAGACGGTTCCTCTGATTGGTTGTTGGGCGACATTAGCCCGCCCTCTGGGTTCTCCCGATTGGGTGTGACTTGGGAGAAGGCTGACGGGCGTGGCAAAGTCTTGGCCTCTTTGAGTTCCCTTGTGTCTGATTTGATCACACTCTGAATGTCCTTTCTGACTGGACTCCCACACTCCTCCTCTCTCTCCTCTTTCTCCTCCTTCTCTTCTCTCCTGTTCTCCACTCCTCCTCTGTGACCCTCAGGGGTCATGTCCCGCTTCAAAGGAAGTGGGCCTGAGTTCTCTTTCAGGGTTAAAGATGACAGTTTGTCCTTGGCAGGGCCAGGGGTCTTGGTCTGCCTCCCTGTGTGACCCCCTTTCTGAGACACCAGTGATATGGAGTTCTTACACAGGTTGTACTTCATGTGGTTGAAGAGGTGAGACTTCTCGTTGCAGGTGAAGGGGCACTGGAAACACTGGTACTTGTAGGGCTTGCCTGGGGGCCGTGGGATGTAGTGAGGCCTCTTGGGCTTGCGCTCCTGAACGGTGAGCATTTTGGATCTGGTGTGTGTGCAGTTTCACTGGAAAGACAAGAGGAGGAGATAACAGATTGATGGATTAGTTGTGCTGTACATTGACATACATTTATAATGCTTTCTTCACATCATGTCATTATGTGTACAATGAAATGTGGTTTCTTTACATCATTAATGTTCTTTAAGGAAATGTCAGGGTATATTAGTATTTTAGGACCTTTTGTTAATTATCCTGTTGTTGAAGTTTGTTAACACCACATTCTCACAGCGTTTACTGAGTAGGATTAACATAGCTAATAGGCTAGTTTAACTGGTTCAACTAGAGGAGAGGAGAGGAGAGGAGAGGAGAGGAGAGGAGAGGAGAGGAGAGGAGAGGAGAGGAGAGGAGGAGGGTAGTTAGGCTAGTTTACACTGACTTCTCCTCTCCTCTGTCTGTGTCCTTTATCTGCTCAGGCCAAAGAAACAAGATCCCTCCCTAAAGTCGTGAAACATATAGTCTAGTCCACAAATATATATATATACACACCTGGATCTGTCCAAAACGGATCAAGCCAAGCATCCTAGTATGACATTTAGGAGTATTAATTGAGTCAAACTTGTGACAGATGGACAGATAGTAGTGAGGGTCTGCCTCTGTGTGTATAGAGGCACTCAGACTAACCTAGTCCACTAACCGTTGCTCTGTATGTTATGTTTGGAACAAGGAACAACTGTCCAACTTTCACAGTATGCAAACCACCTGTATGTTATTTCCATAGACCCATCACTGTCATGGGTGGCTGGTTAAGTCTCGCTACATAGACCCATCACTGTCATGGGTGGCTGGTTAAGTCTCTCTACATAGACCCATCACTGTCATGGGTGGCTGGTTAAGTCTCTCTACATAGACCCATCACTGTCATGGGTGGCTGGTTAAGTCTCTCTACATAGACCCATCACTGTCATGGGTGGCTGGTTAAGTCTCGCTACATAGACCCATCACTGTCATGGGTGGCTGGTTAAGTCTCGCTACATAGACCCATCACTGTCATGGGTGGCTGGTTAAGTCTCGCTACATAGACCCATCACTGTCATGGGTGGCTGGTTAAGTCTCTCTACATAGACCCATCACTGTCATGGGTGGCTGGTTAAGTCTCGCTACATAGACCCATCACTGTCATGGGTGGCTGGTTAAGTCTCGCTACATAGACCCATCACTGTCATGGGTGGCTGGTTAAGTCTCTCTACATAGACCCATCACTGTCATGGGTGGCTGGTTAAGTCTCTCTACATAGACCCATCACTGTCATGGGTGGCTGGTTAAGTCTCTTTACATAGACCCATCACTGTCATGGGTGGCTGGTTAAGTCTAGAAAAAAATCATAGACCTCACCCAGTCTAGCAGACCTGCATCATAGACCTCACCCAGCCTAGCCGACCTGGAGGGCGTGTAGCGACATGCTCCTCTCTCTCTCACTCTCACTAAACTCTCCGCTGCCTGCCTGAAGGCGTGGGAACCGAAAGGCACCTGTTTCCCATGACTACGCCTGCAGTGCAGCGGGATGCAGCCGATACGGGGCTCTATGCACAGCTCTATTGCAGTAGGCAGCTAGGCTATCTGAGGAGCTCATCACACCAGATCTACCTGGCCTTCTGACAGCATGGTCTTCCTGGAGAGACTGTTACTCAGGAGTCAGGGGCTTACTTACAGGGAAAAGTGTGTATGTATGTGTGTGTGCGCATAGTAAACTGGCTAAGATGCACCAGCACCAGAATAAAGGGCATTAATGCACATCTAAATTGGAACTGGTATTCAAATGAGAACCATCTCAGTTTAACGGATATATAACAATTCCGATTTTTTTCCTTTGAGAAGGAGCTGTCACCTAAGGCCATGTCTTCAGGTTTAGGACACACACACACACACACACAAACACACGGTTCAGGGCTCCGCCTAAAGAGACCGAACTGTTCCGTCACACACTGTCGCAAGAAGTCGTCTCTCAGGTTCCTGCCCAGGTGTGGTGCAGAACGGAACGCCACTCCCTTCTCAAGAAGAGAAATCGGTTGGAAAACCTTTTTAGTTGTAATATCTTGCTTTCATTATCTGGAACATGACCAACACTCATAGTCTACCAGATACAAAGCCCCTCACAGAAACAACTCAATTTTCTTATAGTTTTCCAACTTTCCCAACTCAACCCCCCCCTCATCCATATCTTACCAGGTGTTCTTTCTTAGTGAACATCTGGTTAATCTAAACCATCAACATGTTTTAATCATTTCCACGTCCTATGGTCCACTTCCTCTGTCTCAGACATAACAAGCCAGTGTTGACTGTTGAGCTAATTGCCAGGCGTGTTTGTGGGTCCGTCCGTCAGTACCATGCAGGCAGTAGGTTATTAAAACACAGGTAACAGGTGGCATAACAGGTGCACAGTCTCACCTCACCCCAAATACACCTGTAGATTCAGCTTCACATGTACACCCGCACACACTGAACCACAGACAGGTTACAAGGTACCGTTCAAGCTGGATATGTGGAATAAATAACTGCTTGTCGTGATCTGAAGAGCTCGATCGCATTCACCAACTGCCGTTTCCCTTGGCCGGTTAAACCCGTCGTAGTTAGGTAGTGAGAAAGTGGTCTTACCTGCTCTGTTTGTGAGGACCAGCCAGTAGTTCTGTACCAATCTCTCCAGTAGTGTCCCGAGTCCCAAATGTGTGTGTGCTCTCTGCTGCCTGGTCTGTGGTAAGTGTTGATCTGACTTCCTGTCTGTGAGGTCTTGCCTGTCCTGTCACCTTGGGCTAGCTACCTAGGGGGCGGAGCCTACTTTATCCTAACAGTAACAGTAGGGCCCTGAGTGGGCGTGGCCTCCAGCAGCAGTAGATCCCTGAGGGGGCGTAGCCTCCAACTGCATCAGTCGGGCCCTCAGGCAACATCCATCCTAGCTGAATATTACTCAGGCCCTGAGCCACCATTTATATGATGGGAGAAAACCTCTCTCTCTCTCTCTGTGTGTGTGTTAGAGAGAAGTGCTTTAACAGAAGTTCCCACAACATTCCGAGGATGTTGTTAGACATTTGGTAGCAATGAAAAGGTAATTTGCATCCAGGCAAATAAGGGTAATGGTGTTTGGCTCTACCTGTGACTTTATATCAGCGGCAGCCTTTATAATGTTCAGTGTCAACCCAAATCAAACAAAAGTGTTGTTGTTTTTTTACGCAAGTGAACACGCTGGAATTAGAAATGCACGGTAGTGAAATGACAGTAAAGAGAGACGGGCAGCGAGCGTCAACGCTGTCGACGGCGTCGTGTGCTTCAAATTAGAAAGCATGTCTATATTTCTCGTTTCTACTCGAAGCTGCTAGTGAGCGGATAAATTGCCCTTGTGCATTGTTACGTCTGGAATTGACATAGTTAAAAAGTGTCTATTTAGTGTTGATACGTTTAGCTGCCAGTATCTATAGTATATATTTGAAACTTTATGCCTACCTACCTTTTGTTGATTTCGTGCACAGGCTTATAGCAAAGGCAGGCTGCGACTGGGAAACTGAAGGAACGTTCTAGAGATAATACTGCTGTAGAAAAAACGAGACTAGCTAAATTCTTTATAGGCCTACAGTGCATTCGGAATGTATTCAGACCCCTTGACTTTTTCCACATTTTGTTACGTTACAGCCTTATTCTAAAATTGATTAATTAAATTTTTTCTCTCATCAATCTATACACAATACGCCATAATGACAAAGCAAAAACTGGTTTTTAGATTTTTTTGCAAATGTATTAAAAATAAAAAACAGATACCTTATTTACAGTATTCAGACCCTTTGATATGAGACTCGAAATTGAGCTCAGGTGCATCCTGTTTCCATTGATCATGTAGGTGAATGCACCAATTTGTAAGTCGCTCTGGATAAGAGCGTCTGCTAAATGACGTAAATGTAACATAAATGTAAATATAAATCATCCTTGAGATGATTCTACAACTTGATTGGAGTCCACCTGTGGTAAGTTAAATTGATTGGACATGATTTGGAAAGGTACACACCTGTCTGTATAAGATCCCACAGTTGACATTGCATGTCAGAGCAAAAACCAAGCCATGAGGTCGAAGGAATTGTCTGTAGAGTTCCGAGACAGGATTGTGTCGAGGCACAGATGTGGGGAAGTGTACCAAAAAATGTCTGCAGCATTGAAGGTCCCCAAGAACACAGTGGCCTCCATCATTCTTAAATGGAAGAAGTTTGGTACCACCAAGACTCTTCCTAGAGCTGGCCACCCGGCCAAACTGGGCAATCAGGGGAGAAGGGCCTTGTTCAGGGAGGTGACCAAGAACCCGATGGTCACTCTGACAGAGCGACAGAGTTTTTCAGCGACTGGGACTAGGAGACGAGTCAGGATTGAGGGAAAGATGAATCGAGTAAAGTATAGAGAGATCCTTGATGAAAACCTGCTCCAGAGCGCTCAGGACTTCAGACTGGGGCGAAGGTTCACCTTCCAACAGGACAACAACCCTAACCACACAGCCAAGACAACGCAGGAGTGGCTTCGGGACAAGTCTCTGAATGTCCTTGAGTGGCCCAGCCAAAACCCGGACTTGAACCATATCGAGCGTCTCTGGAGAGACCTGAAAATAACTGTGCAGCAACGCTCCCCATTCAACCTGACAGAGCTTGAGAGGATCTGCAGAGAAGAATGGGAGAAACTCCCCAAATACAGGTGTGCCAAGCTTGTAGCGCATACCCAAAAACACTCAAGGCAGTAATTAATGCCAAGTGCTTCAACAAAGCACTGAGTAAAGGGTCTGAATACTTATGTAAATGTCATATTTCCGTTTTTTAAATTTTTAATACATTTGCTAAAATTTCTAAAAACCTGTTTTTGCTTTGTCATTGTGGGATAGATAAAAAATAAAAAATTTAATCCATTTTAGAATAAGGCTGTAACGTAACAAAAATGTGGAAAAAGTCAAGATCTGAATACTTTCAGAATGCACTGTACATAGCGAACACAACAAATACAACTGTTTATTATG